AGGCTGATTCTATGATTCTATGAACAGAGACCCTGCAAATGTACCTGGTGTGTGCAGCTCTCAAGGCACAAGAGACTTGCTTGGTGCAGCTTGTTGAAAGTTAAACAGGTAGACAGACACTTGCAAAAACTGTGGGCTGAGGTGATGGGTTCTGTCCTGGGTGTGCAAACCAGGATCTTGCTGTATGCAGCTTCCAAAGCAGAGTTGGTAGTGGAGATCTCTTATAGAAAGTCCTTGGGGCACTGTGAGGCGTTACAGAAAAGACAGGGTGTGACTCTTGAGCAGTGAGAAAATACCCCAGTGACTGACTACTGGTTATGCTTCTAGAATCCTCATCTAAACCAGAATGCCTGGAATAACCTTGAGAAGTACTGCAGAAGCTTGGCAAAGCACAACAAGAACGTCTATGTCTGCACAGGACCCCTCTTCCTGCCCAGGTAAACTCGAGGGCTGAGCTGGGATGGCTGGGAAAGGAAAACAGGCTGAGGTGCTCCCAGGCAGGAGGGATCTGCTGAGGCCTTACTCAGTGGGTGAGACGAGCTGTGAACAGCAGTTCTGTGGAAAGGTACTTTGTTACGATTAGTGTGTGTATTTCCCATCCAGTTGATTATTTAATGAGTAAATGTGGGTTTCTTGAGCTACAGTAGAACCACACTGCTTTTGTTTGCAGTCCTTACAATTGAGTCTGTTAGATTACCAGATTAGGCTGCAGCCCTCATGCCTGCAGAGTAAAGCTGCCAGGTTTTATTTCATGGACTACTTCTCTACTTAAGGGCATGACTTCGTTTGCAAAGATCTTCATGTAGCACTGGAGACCAGCTGTCTCATGTTGAGATATCTTTAGCCTCCACTTCAGCAATGTTTTACACCCCATATGTGCATGGGTGGGGGCTCACTTGGGAGGACTGTTGGAGGGCTGAGGGGGCAGATGTGGCACCAGACTAGGAGGTAACCTAGGACATTGCTGTTGGTGCAGGATGGAGGCCGATGGGAAGATGTATGTCAAGTACCAGGTGATTGGGAAGAACAACGTGGCCGTCCCCACCCATTTCTTCAAGGTGCTCATCTTGGAAAAGGAGAGTGGGGAGATTGAGCTGCGCTCCTACGTAATGCCCAACAGCCCTGTGGATGAGAAAATCCCCCTGGAACGGTTCCTGGTGCCCATTGAGAGCATTGAGCGAGCCTCAGGGCTCCTCTTTGTTCCAAACATCCTCAAGAGAACAAGTAACTTGAAAGCCATCACAGCTGGAAGCAAGCATTGAACCTAGACAAGTGCAGGTATCCCCTGGGGAGGGGGATTACTGACAGCAATCACTTGTGGAATCATAGTTCCTTGTGCAATTTTAAGTGTGGGAAATAATCAATGGTTCTGTCTATCCTTCCCCTCTTTGTCAGTGAAACACGCATACACACAGCAGGTCTGGAGGTAGGTCCTGCAGAAGGCTCCTGGGCACCTGACACTGTAGCAGCTCTAGCATTGGCCCATAATCCCACACTCTGGCATTGCTCCCTTGGAGTTGTGTGAGGCTCATTATGGCACAAAGAGAAGTTACTAATTTTTGCTGTTTAGCAGGGAAGGAGAGGAACAAGATGGGTGCAGGGGGAGGAGGGGAGAAGTTCCTGCCTTCCTGTGGCCAAAGGATTGTGTGTTTTCTTTCAAAAGATGGTTTTAGCAGTAAAGCTTTGAACACCTACAGTATTGGTTCTTATCTGCTCTTACCAAAGCTCTGAGTATCTCAGCAGGAGGAGGGGAGGACAGAGCCAACTTTTCCAGCTGCTTTCCTGTCTGAGCTCACTGTAGGCAGAGCTTAAGGCCTACAGTACAGGTGGAGCCAAACTGTAAGGAACTGATGTGCTTTAGTGCTGAGGCCCAACTGAAGCTCCAGCCCTTCCTGCTGTTTGGAAGGATGAAGCCTTGGAGTTGAGGGGGAAGTCAGACTGACACAGGAACAGCTTTTTGGCATAAGGATTAAACTTTGGCTCCCTTTCAATCTGAAGACCACACGGCTCCAGAGGCAGTGAGTGTGTGCAGGATCTCTGGACAGGGAATGCACATCCTCTACACCAAGACACACCTGCACTTCACAGCAGTTGAGGTTCCATACTGCTTTATTCCCCACCCCAGAAGTCTGAGTTGCTGAGACCCAGTCTGCTGCCAGGCTTGTCCCAGCTACTGGGAGGCAGCAACCAGCCCTTGGCTGGGCCCTGCAGGCAGGAGGGTGCAGACCTGCTGCTCCCAGCAGCAGCTGAATGCTTGGTCAAGCAGCGTTGCCAGCTTGAGTTGTGCCGTGTCTTGGCCTCACCAGGCTCTTGGAGTGACTTGCCCATACTTCCTCAAGGCAGTGCTCAGCTGATGGCAAGGTCAATGGTTTCCCTTCCCTCAGCTGTCACTGGGTGTCTTCACAGCTGCATCGATGTGGGGTCTTAGTGCAGACAGAGAGATCAGCAGTGCTTCCTGCAACAGACCCAGGCTGCAGTCAGAACTGCTCTCTGAGGAGCACCAGGCAAGTCAGCTGCTTGCTGCTGGGGGTCAGCACGGGGAATGACACGTGGGCCATGTGTGTCACTGCCAGAGGCAGAAACAGCACCACCCTGTGCACACAGGCACTGTGCCCCAGCACCTGCCCTACCTCTGTCCGGATGGTTCTGCTGCCTTGGCTGGGACAGGTGTTCAGGTAGAAGTCAAACAAGACGCTTGGGTCGGTGATGTCCAGGTTTGGGTCCACATCAACCCCAGCTTCCAAGCCCTCAAGGCCTCCAAACACAACAAGGGCATGCCTGGGGAGAGCACAGGGACAGAGTGAGAGAGGAGACTGGCTCTTAGCTCTGTACTGAGCCAGACACTACAAGCTTTGCATAGGAGAGCTGCTCATGTGCCTTGAATCTCCAAGTGGATCACAGATTGGCTTGACATGGAGTTCTTAACTCGATCTGCAAGCAGCAGACTCATTTTTAGTCAGCTGTGTGTGTGTTCAAGCTCCTCTGTGCTGCTGAAGCAGGGAGCTGTGTCCCCTGCTGACAGTCCCAGTGGAGCTGTCTCCTCAACAAAGCCCCCCCAAAGCACTTGGCCAACATGACAATCCCTGCTACCACCTCCAGAGAAACAGAAAAGGAATTGACCTTGTCCTGGGGTACTTCCTCTAGCTTCTGTGATACAGAGAAATGTGCCTTGGTCTAAGAGGGAGCAGCAAGGCACAGAAGGGAA